ATGTACAATATATAGCCATGTCGCACGCACATGCGATGTGTACACAATCACTTTGCACACATAAAATAAGAAAATTATGTTAATTGTACATGTATTATTCTTAACATTGATAAAATAATTATTTTAAGCGCTTTGCAGAAGCAAACATTTTTGTTTACGCATACTGCGAAAATTATTTCAGAGTATTTGCACACTTTTTCGTAATATTTAATTTAAAAAAATATTTTATTTAAATTTTGATAGAATATTAAGCACGCGGCTTAATATTCTTTTGTACAAATGTTTAAAAAAGTAAAAATCATCGCTTGACGATGTGAAAGCTGCATTGTGAAAAGAATAGAAAAGAGAACGTTTTTTAAAAAAATCTGTCGACAAATTAATTGTTTTGTGTTCAGAAAAGTGTCTTATTTGCGTTATACAGCTCTATTGTGTATTTTAATTGCACTACGTTATAGACACGTTTTAGAAATGGTTAAGTGACAGATCTTATGCATGAAGAGCAGGTGGACATGACATCTGAATTCGCGTGGCGTGGAAAGTTGAAAATTCCTATGGAACCGTGCAATTATAGACCTCGTTTCTCATTGAAGACAACGGACGACCAATCTATGCAAACCTTCTCCCTCTGGGGTGAACCCTCACTTTGCATGGAAAATTGCAAATCTATCCAAACCCGTACAATTGATTAACCATATTATTTACATACGATTCCACAGATAATTTGCAACTATTCATGTGAAGTGAACTAAAATGGCGTGCACAAAATGTTTGAAATAATTTTCGTAAAAACATAATGTTATTAACAACAAAGCGCAACTATGTTATTAATTATACGAACGTGTACAAACTGCTACCGTAATTTTATTATTTTGTGCACGGTTGGGTATAATACAATGCGCATGTATGTACTAAAGTTTATGTGTGCAATGCAGCCTGCGCATAAATATGCATCCGTATCTCAAATTATTATTTATGCGCAATAACTCATATAGTCTCTCAATATGCAATTGAAGTTGTCAGCCGTGCAATTGAGATTGTAGACAAATGGCGCAATTTGACAATCGTCACTCCTCACGCCTTTGGAACTTGAAAATGTAAATATTTTAGAAAACGGAGTATACTTAAATTAAAATATTTTATTTTGGTGCAGTATTATTTTCCTCTTTAGAATTATATTATACGTATTTTAGAATACTGTAAATATGTAAATATGTATATATCATTTCGAACATCTCTAAAGGAAAATGTATTGTTCGAAAAAATATTTCAGGCAAGACTTAATTTTGTACGGACAAAAAAGGAATGATTTTCGGATGATCTTTTCTAATCCTCATTCTTATTTTTATACCTAAGCTGTTGTTGAAGTATTTTCGGAACAGTAGTTATAAGCCTTTTCGTTAAGACCTTCCTGAGTTATGAATCTTCAAAGTTTAAGTACTACCGGCATTAGCGCTTTACCCAAGGTACCGCGATATTGGAGCCTCCGCTCAACGAGATGGATCGCGGAGTATACATGGCCTCATCGCTCGTGCGTCGCTCACGTGTGCACCTGGCGTGAGGCATTAACGTACCTTTTTTGACACTTCCTCAACAAAAGTACTGAAAAATTAGGTACTTGTATTCTACGTAGCGATTAAAAATATGAAACTTATAAATTTTAGAAAAAAAATAGAGTTATATCTTTTATTATTTATGAATGGACTCTATTTCAACCGAATCTTGATTCGTAACTTAGTAGCAAAATGTTGCAAAAGTAAGATGGAAATCATAACTTCTTGTAACGTTTTTCATAAGGATAAGTGACTTTCAAATTGAAAGAGAAGATACAGTTAAGAGAAGCTTTAGTTTTATATTTCCGGTGCATCCTAGATATGTGATGCATATGCATGAGCATTATTGCATCGCTCGTTGCACGTGTTCACGTGGCCTTGTAATATGCAAATCCGTGACTTGCGCGTGGACGCGAAACAAAATCGGACGACGGCTTTTATTCGCCGAAGAGAAAAAGACGCGATGATCAAAAGCTTCGTTGACGCCGAACGAAGTGTCGAGTTAAAATAAAAAGGTCAAGTGAGATATAAAAAGTGCTCATAAATGTTCATAAAAATAGCGGAATGTTCTATGTGATGTTAACATTTGGATAAACTTTATAGACACGTTTTTGAGATTATTATATTTAATATTTTATTAGCGAAGGTTTAGCTATTCAGCTATTTATTTATTTATAATTTAGTATTATTATTATTTTTTTTAATGTTCCCTGCTTCTTTCTTTCGCGTATATAAATTTACGTATGCACACACAGAATAAAATGTCTAAAACAATATACATAGATATCTCTATTGCTTTTAAAGACACAAATATTTGTAACTTTTTTATTTTTAGTATCTTCCATAATATAGTGAGTCTCTTTGCATATAGTTAAATAAATAGTTGCTATAATATATAGGGTATTCATCTCTAAAACGAGACCATCAAAATATTTTCAATGTTTCCAACAAAAATAGGAAGATCTTTCAGAAAAAAGTTATATGTTTCAAAAGAATAAATATTATAGTTATAACGATTTATTTAGTTGAAGATTATACCCTTTTAGATTTCATGCTATTTCTGTAAATGAAATCATACTTTCATACTTTCATACCTTTATACTTTTATTAACGTCATATTACAGCAAACATCAAAAGGTACGAGGGTCGTTCAATAAGTCCTTAGAACATTTTTCGTGTACAATTTTCTAAGGACTTATTGAACGACCCTCGTATTTAGCAAGCTATTATTATACAATATAATATCTACCCTTTGAAACTGTGTGCGTACAACTTCTTCTTAAGACCTTTCCATTAAAAATAACAAAAATATTTTGAATGGTGACGTGTTAAAAGCGGCACGCTGTATATAACATTTATAAACTGAGTTGGCATAAAAGATGTAATTAAAAAATATGTAATTCGTTGTTACAAATCTGAATCATGAATAATCACGGAGGTTAAGGCAGAATTGTTAATGCAGTTATATAGTATTGCAAAAGTCTGCAGGAATTATGTGCACATTCGTCAATTAATCGCTCACGCATTTCAAGAGTATAATAAGAAAAACCAGTAAATGACACTATCTTTGCGTCTTTATTTTAGTTTGTTTTAGTTTCTTTTTTTAGCTAAATAAGCGATCTACTATATTTCAAGAACTGTTCTATTCTACTAATTATTATGAATGAAGCCTTGTGTTATGGCAAAGCCATTAATAATTATGGGGAAGCACTACAGCGGACGTTACCTGACTGTCTTAAGCCTGTGTTTCAGATTTTATGTAAGATAAATAACTAAATAAATAAAACTTAATTTCTTTATCCAGACTAAAGAGAAAAAAGATTATTTTTGTATTATTATTAAAAAATTATTAATGAAAAACAATATATATATTTTTTTAAATCTAATTACAAATGTCTATTAAATTAATTAAACATAAAAGGTCGATTTAGTGACAAATTTGTACAATTTATACATTATTATTTTAACATTTATATTAAAAAATACAAAACAATAAAAATGTTTAGATATTAAAAAGCAACATAACCAAAATCAGAATATTCATAAAATGGTTAAGACAAATTTCATAATATTAATTAATACATATATATATCTATATATTATACATATTAACAATTATAAAAAATATTTGTTCCTTTTTCTGGTTTTGCTGTAAAATTCCTGAAAATATCACGAAATGATAAAATTCATAGGGAATAAAAAATCCTATATTAAATCTGTATTAAAATGGGTACGTACTACTGTGACAATTAATCAATCAATCAGCGCAGGACTAATTTGATGCGCAAGAAAGAAGAATTTGGACAAGCGCAAAATGTCCGTTTATTCAAGACTTACGTTCAATTATGACGGATCCAGGCAGAGAACCAGCGCGTGACACATGCATGAAGAGACACGTGGAAATCAATTTTCATCAAGAACAAGTCGTCAGCGTTCTTATCGTGAAATATGTATCGATTTAATCATATAATTAATCGCGATTAATTTTAATAGCGTCGCCAATCGTCACGTTCATGCTTTTATCGATCAATATTTACCTTTTTTTTTCTTTTTTCTTCTCAATATCATACCTATTGGTATTACCCTATGAGACTATTCCGTAATTTATTAAAGCTTCTTTGGATTATAGCTTTTTTCAAAACTAAACTGAGATACTTGTAGGCAAATAAAAGTCGTTTATAACGCAGATACAGTGTTAAGAATTATGTTCTTTCTATTGTTCTTTTTAAATAAATATTATAACAGTTCTTCTTGTAAATATTGGGTGCTCGTTATTAAAATTATTTCAATTTTGACATATCTATGCACATTTATTAAATGTTACAACTCACATTTTTATTGCTATCAAACATGATTGCCGAAAAATAGATAAGTTTTCACGTGATGTTTCTGTTAGATTCAAAGTTTTCCCATTACATTTATCCTCGTCAGAAGACTGAAAGGTCTTCCGCCGAAGTTCGTATCAGCAAAAATTGCATCGGATCGAGTGAAAAGAACAACGTAAGCAAGTGACGGCGCTATCAAAATCAAATGCCGAAAGTTCGAACCGAGATTTTGCTTCTTATTTCGCTCATATATAGGTAGACAAAAATAAGGCATTTAAATTTGAACATTGAGTTTTCTTACAAGCGCGCAAAAAAGCTCCTCGAAGAAAAAATGAATACAATATTATCTCCTAATATATCTTTCTTATTACAGAATTTTTTATTCTAAAAGAAGCAACTGAAATACTTATGGCGATTGCATTAAAATAATTTATCTGCATGTCCTATAAATTATTGTTTTTATTATGTTCGCTTCATTGACTGCAAATTTTTAACTTTTTCTGAGGAGCTTTTTTGTTTTGCATAACCGATTTAAATGTCTGATCCTGTATAGAAAAAGAAGGGAAAAGTGTCATAACGATTTTTAAAGTGTATCGGGAAATCCCGAATTAAAAAACTTAATCACCTCCTTGCAGCAAGGGCTCGCCCAATTCGACATAGAAAAGAGCATCCTTCTCGTAAGAATCCTCTTCGATGATTTCCAGGTTGATAACTTTTCTGAAACAATTACAGAATAGTTTAAAACAATGTTGGAAATAGCATGTAAAAATAGCGAATATACAAAGAAAAAATATATATGTGTGTGCTTAACAGAGTATTTATATACTTATACATGTATATACAGAGTGAACCAACAGTCAGGCACCAATCATAATATGTCTTTTTTTTTTTCAAATTATTGTGCCATACTGCCTAAATTAAGCTTTGTGCCTAAATTGCTCAAATTATTGTGCCTAAATTAAGCTTTTGCTGCATAACTCTGTGCTTCCTGTTTTCTTGCAATAGATAAATATTTTACCAACAATTCTATGATTAATTGAAGGCCTGTCGGAATGCTTGGAATTAAACTCATAAGCGATTGAACGTTGCGTGGCACCATCTGTCCCCCCTCCCCCTCCTCCCTCTCTTTCTCTCTCTCTTATTTTCTTTTATTTTAACCCAAAACGAAGTTTTTCACAAAATTTTATCGAAATCGGAGGGGGACCGTTTTCAGAACTTTATCCGGATTCAGTTCTCGTAATTATGTTATGTAATTCATTGGAGACGTTAAAAGACATCAAACGATATTAAACGCGAACTGTCTCATACTGTTTCGAACTATACGAACGACGGGACAACGCCGCGGAAATCGATTTATTACTTTGGATAATTAAGTATCGGATAACTGTACAACTTGCAGGCGCACATTAGCGTCAGGAGGCATAATTGAAGACTTCTTCTGGGAAACGTACTATTTTCTACATTGTTACTAGTACAGTCTCGACGGGATAGTAATCAATTTTCATTGAAAACGGAAATACCTTTTGATACGCAAGACACTCGCAGCTGGATAGATTTGATCAAAATTCACGCTGACGTAAAACATGATGAACAATGTGGAATCTTAATAAATTGTTACTATTCCGATACGCTTATACTGTTCTGTGATGTAATATTATTTATAAAGCAGAACAAGAGATTGCTCAATAAATTGATTTTGTCATTTTCATTATAATTAATTATTAACATCTTTCTATCTTTTCAAATTATAAAAGTGTAATAATAATCGCGGATACAATAAATCAGTTAATTTGTTACTTATTTATTATTTTCTGTAACGCATATCTATTAAAGAAACTGTAAGAAATAGAGTATTAAGCTTACCGAGCTATTTTGTCCACAGATAACACGTGTAAAACAACATGAAAATGTCAAACATATGTCATAGGCACACATCGATATGTCACGCTACTTCATATAAACAATCTTGTTATAAATTCTGTTAATAAACTTTCAGGTAGCATATAGTTAATAAGATTCAAACACGCGAGTTTGATATTAATTGAATATAGCTATTAATTAATCAAATTTCCATATTTAAAAAAAAGAAACTAGTAGTAAAAAAAAATTGATTTAGTATTGTGCATAGCTAGTTCACGCAACAATAAAATAGAGTATTTATGAAAATTATATTGCTACAAATGTTTTATTTAAAACGGAGAACAAAACTCTGAAAGAAAGCTGAATAGATTAAAAAACGTTAGTTATATTTAAGCGACTTGTTTCGCACAATAAAAAAATAGTTGATCCTTTTCTGTATAATAAAATAGAACAATTTCCTTTACAAAAGTAAATAAGTTTCTGGAGTATCGCAAATATCCCTGAATAATTCCTTCGAGAATGCCACACGTGAGAAATTAGCTGAGATATCAGTTATGTATAGCATTAGCATGTGTCGAGATTTCATAACATGTAGTCGGGCAGTAATATGAAACTATACAAGTGCAACGGAACGAAAGCTCGTTAAGGCGGAGAACTTCATTTAGCGGCGTTATAATTAAACCAACTAATGCTTGTTATCTTGACAGTGAAGCACCGTTGCACGCGAGACTTAATCCGCGTTCATTTATACCATGCATGCGACTATCCCTTTCGCTTTATTGCGAATCTGTTTCAATGGGATACTCTTCAACATGACAATCAGAGAGAAAGAGAGAGATTTCCAGAGAAGTGTAAATTACAGCTTTGTATGTTTAAACAATAAAATAAAGGTTACCGGCCAATAACGAGCAAGAGATTGTTAAAATTCAAAAAGATATATTGTTACAAACAATTGTTAAAATGGGACGTTTCTGGCTTACAATGGGTTATGGCTGAGGAAGGCATGGTGTTGCCGAAACGTCCCATTTTAACAATTGTTTGTAACAACATATCTTTTTTATCTTTTTGAATTTTAACAATCTGTTGCTCGTTATTGGCTGGTAACCTTTGTTTTATTGTTTGATACATACGAGCCTGACCTTTATTTATATTTGTATGTTTAGTTTTTCAAAAGATCGTAGACTCTCGCCTCTGACAATTCCAAACGAGAAGATGAAAGATTAAAGATTAAGAGTGTCATAATTTCCTCTTGATTTTTCAATGTTAAATGAAAAGGTAAGATTAAGAATGTCATAATTTCTTCCTGAATTTTAAATCTTAATTTCTGCTGGAATTCCCCTTTAGTCTTTAAAAAATTGCCGTCAATATTTAACGGCAACCCCAAGGAGCGGAGATTTTTTGATGTCATATTAACGATGCGACTTTGAAACTGCCTGCCGTGTAAAATCGCATCATTATATCCGACATAAACAAATCACATCGATTATTCTCGGCGGGGAGAAATGGCGGATGTGATTTATTAATCTACGAATCCAGAGCAACGCCGAGTTCGCGCTTAATTGCGAGTTAACTACAAATGACTGCGGAAAGCAGCGTAATGCTTTTAATAGTTCGAGATATCGTCTAACGCGATTAACCGATCCTTTATGTTGAAGGTCTTAAAGTCTTGAGGCAAATTGTATTACAACATGTAAGTTGATCACGTCTTACTGAAATAAATTCTTTCGCTTTAACAAGCCTGGTAATAAAGCCTATCTGGAAAAAAGCTGAAAGTAGTCTATGAATTAACAATACTGTTTGGATAATCATAAAATGGCATATACAATAATTGAAATTTTACTTCTACCAATCTTCATATATGGAATAGATACTTTATAAATTATAATTAAAAATAAGAATATATATATTGCAATATAAATTAATGATATTAATACATTAAACAGTAAATATTAAATATAACAACCAATAAAAATAACGAATTTAATTTCTTAAAATATATTTTATAATAATTATATTTATAAGACATAGGTTGTTATATTTGGAATACTCTAGAGAGAGCCCAATTCTTTATTTCTTTATTCCTATCTGACAAGAGATAATTCACATCTGTCACCCCTAAAAACATCCCCAATGCGAGTGAACTTTAATAAAAGATATATTTCGGAGCCATCATCGAGGCGTACGAAATAAAATGTCGTTTACTTTAACCGTTCTTGCATGAGATGCGAATTGAGTTGCTCATGCGAGGCGAGAAGGGGAATAAGAAGGGTTCTCACCCTCGGCGAAGAAAAGAGATTTAATATGACATCAGTGGCAGATTTAATCTTTTAAACGTGAAAAACATCACGTTTTATCTCTCTTATCAATTAGAAATGATTTGTTTTGTTTTTTTGTTTAATAACTTTAATAACTTTATCTATTCTTATATAAACGCGTGTGTATGAGAAAATGTACGTTGAAAGCCAAATGCAACGTTCGAGAGAAATAAGCGAAAAGCTTTTCTTCGACGATGCCAATGCCGACGCCCATGCTACGAGATTGATCCGATCACCCTGTGTGAGAGCCAAAGTAACAACATAACGAGCATAACAGCAATTTCCGAACTCATACGCTCGAAGCGATGCCAAGGCGCAATAGTGTTTAAGAGAGAAAAAAACAGATTATTTGTGCGCATGCACGTACGCATGCACGAGCCCACACAACTTGACAATGTTCTATTTACTTCAGAAAATTAATTGGATCCAACGTGTCGCAACAAAATAGACTGTTTGTTCACCGACAATTCATTAACGTCTAACCATTTCTGAATCTTCTTCTATATGTAGTGTAAGGTTCAAAAGTTCTAATTAAAGTTTTCAGTCTGATTTGACTAGAGGAAAATCAACAATTCCTTTTCTTTTTTTTAATATAATCTTGTATTTCGATGCATTTATTACAACATTTTATTAACATTTCTCGTACCCTTATAAAAATAGTCCGAATTCTTTCCTTCAAAATATACCGAAATTACAGACTGTGCTTCTTCATCAAATGTTTCCTTCATAAATTTTAATTTTAAGAACAAGGGGCCAGGTCAAGGTTGTAAGGTGTAGATTCCTTGAAACTACATTGTCAAATCGCAACCTTTCCTAAAATTAATGTGTACATGATCACATTGCTACCTTGTTTTTCTTTAATGACATCTTCTAACTACACTGCAAATCCAAATGTTATTTTAGCTGAAACTCTTCTTACACATTTCTTGCCGTTTTAAATCACGTCATTTAACACGATTGAACGTATTAACTTTTAATTTAATACGATTATGTGTTAAATGACGTAATTTAACACGTAAAGAAACATGTAAAAAAAAGCTTTAGTCTAATGTGTTATTTTTAGACGTTTATGCATGTAAAAATAACACACTTCGATTTGCAGTGTAATGCATTAAAAAGACGTATTCTCCTGTCTGGTGTTGCGTTCTTTAAAATCAATCAGAAGGATCTCGGAAAATCTTCTCAGAAAATCTTCCTCCTTTTGAAACTGTGTCACCTTTGCTTTCTTGAGCTTTGGTGGACGTCAGGTGATGTCATTCCATAGATTTTCATTTTGATAGAGGATCACGATAAATGCCGTAGCTTCGCCTCCCCCGATAACAATGGATTCAATAACTTCTTTCTCTCGACCTTCTCAAGGAATAAAAGCTCACTGCAACATCTCACTTGCTATTCGTTTTGAACTGCCAAAAGAAGTTTGCTGAGCTGACTTTATTTATGTTAGATTTATCAGAATCCAAAACGCTGTATCTTTTTATGACACACGTCTTGCTGCTAATTTCTTGGTTTTTATTTAACCACCTGTCTTCCAATATTTCTTTC